AACTTTGTTAATAGAATCTTACTTTATTTTGTTTTTTGTGTAGGTTATGTTTAATTTGAAGGTGACTGCTCATATTTTCTGTACCGCCATCATAAATAAGCTTATAGCCACATTTAACTTGCTTATTACTCAACTTTGTTATTTTAACTGTACATATACAGTATTCTTTATCTTTGCTCAAAGTAAAGTACTTCCACACCCAACTAGACTTTGCATACTGCCACCTGAACTTTGGATGGTTTAATTTGTTTTTTTTTGTAATACGAGATTGATCAGAAAAAGTTGTGGAAGTGGCACCACTGTTAGAACTAACCGACGATACATTATCACTTGTCTCGTGTGAAGTTTCTTCAAAAAAGTTATCACAAATATCACTTCCGTTCATTTTATAGTGAAAAAAAAATTATACCGAATTTGCATTTGAGAAAAAAAAGCATTAAATTCTCTCAAAAAGTGAGCTAAATTTCTTAATCGGGTTTGAGATGGTGTACAGCATATCTGATATTACTTTTCGAAACCTGATCATCTGAATTAATCCGGATTGGCCCAGATTCCAGTAATCTGGGTCAAAACGGTTGTATCTGATTTCACCCGGGTAATAATTTAAAATCTGGGTTACCCATATTGATTCGGGTCAACCCAGATTAATATAACCCAGGTCCAAACACTAAGCAAAACCAATACTTGCAATTAGAACTTAATCATTAAACTGCTATGCTCTTATAAAGTTTACTCAGACCCTAATATTTACTTCATAGCATAACTCTGATACTTTAGTATATTTCTAAATTTTATCAGACTCCCAATCCAAATAGTCCATATAGGACTACAACTAGTTTATTGATATATTAAGTTAGTCTAATATTCTTTTCTTCTAGTTTGTTCTGATAGCCTAGTTGGTGATACCTCTAAGACTCTCAATTCAAAAGTTCTTGCCTGTTCAATTATTAAGACCTGGGTATCTGTTTCTCTAGGCTAGCCTTTACAGTAATGTTATTAAAGATTTAGCTATTTTTCTATTTGGGTCTTTTCAATTGAACTTCTTGTTATCTAATTTTAATAGATTTGTATAGCCACAAGGACTTATCTAGTAACAGTTGGCATAATATGAATATAATATAGGTAATTATTCAAATTTTTACTATTAATAGAATTTGAACACCTAATCTACCACTTGAAAGATTGACAACCTAACCATTTTACTAGGTTGTCACATCTTACAATTTGATATTCTTTAATTTATAACACAGACAAATTCGTTTGTATTAATTTTTTAAAATTAATTTTTATAATAAAATTTTAATGTTTAATTTTAGCAATATATTTTCTAAGTAAAAAATATTTTTAAAATTCTACTTTATAAACTTTATTAAGAAACTTTTTTAATTTTATTAAAAAATTTTTAATTAATTAAAATTTAAGAATAAATGTACTATTTTAAAATTATATATAAACTTAATGATGATTTTTTTTTATATTTAAATTTATAAAAAATTATATTAAGTAAAAGTTGTAGGATAGGTCTTTCTAATTCTAATAATAACAAAATTATTAAAATTAGTTAAAAACTTATTAAAATATGAATTTTTAAACATTAAAATATAAAATTAT